CCAAGTTTGAGGATGCGCAAGATGATATAGATCATTGAATGAGTTCTTTCTGTTTGAGAATTCGAGATTGAGGGATATAAAAGTCGATGTGATATTATTATTGGTTGAAAAAGAGGGATCTAAAGAAAAAGAGATGGTGTTGTTGTTGTATTGTAATTGTTGAAAGTCGGACGACGATGATGAAATTGATGATTGCTGATGTTGATGTTGATGTTGATGTTGATGTTGATATTGGAGATTCCCTTTTCGTATGTGAGGTGTGTGTATGTGTGGATGGATATTCGTGTAGACTATCTATGAAAATGAATGATATCGAATTAAGACTATGGGGAAATTCCTCGGACTTTTGTTGATCTGCGAATTGGAAGTAAAGTAAAATCCCTTGATGGTAGTGAAAAAAGAGTTACCGATCGAAACAGGATGATGGATGAACAATTCCTACTGTTGGCTGGAGTCGTAGGTATTTACCAGGTTGGTAGGTAGGGTAAGTAAGGTTTACCGGTGGAAGACTCGTAGTCGTACAGTAGAACGCGAAAAGTCAAAGTAGGTGAGGATTATGGATCTTTTCCGCTAAGGATTAGCATGATGGGTCCTGGTCCTGGTCCTGGGACTTTCCTTCTTTTTTGCCCTTTCCTCTTAGGATCTCACAATAACCATGATCCTGGGGAGAAGAAAAGTATGTGTAGATGGATGTGTATGGTTACTATGGGAGGAGGTGTGTAGGTGTGTAGGTGTGTAGGTGTAGTGCGATAAATGTGGGTATGGCGTTGTGGGTGGTGGACGAAGGCAAAAGATGGATCGGTATGGATCTATGTGGGTGGATATGGATATGGGTATGTATGGATATGTATTGGGATAGGATCGGTAAAACCCAATATGATCTAGTCTGTCCCTTTTGCAGATTGAACACGAGGTTGGTATTGGGGCCAAGAAGATGTACGACTTTGGAAAAGTTATGCTATGGTCAAGGGATAATAAGTTTACGACTGAACGAATTGATGAGTTGAGTTGTTGATTGATTGATTGATGAATCTTGAATGCATCCAATCCCGTACAAACAGTCAGTCACTCAGTCAATCGCTTTCTCTGGATGTCTCTAGGTGAAAGAATAAGAAAGTGTAGGTGTAGTGTAGTGTAGTTATGTACGGTGTGGCATGTATATCTTCTGAAGTTTGTTTCGCTCTTGTCTTGCACTATTCCGTTATTTAGTACAAAAGGAGTGATGTTTGGTAAAGGTGGCCAGTGATGTGATGTGGATTCAAGGTTGATTTTATTTAGTAGTGTAGTCGTGAGTCGGTTGCGATGATGGTTTGAGGAAAGTGGATAAGTGTGACGGAAGTGGTGGTACAGTTTTGTAGTATTTGTTGATAATGATTGATCGAAGCCCGAACGATTTGTTAAGTCATCAGGTAAGAAGGTGTGAAGTTGTGTGTGATAAGGACGGGGTCGGTGGTAATTGTTGTTTTTGTGTTGAAGGGGTTGAGTGAAGGGGTCAAGTGAAGGTAGGCTGGTTGTAATTCACTTTACTCTTCACTCTTCGCTCTAATTGTAATTTGTCTGATCCAAATAATATACTCTTCCACCCCGTCAAATGCTAAGTAACTACCTAGACAATGGGTAGCAACGACAATTGATACTTTATGATATCGGTATGATGATGATATTATGAAGATCTTTCCTCTCCTTCCTTTACTACTCCGTATTTCGTTGGCCCAGGAGACTGGTAGGGATTAAAAGGGATAAAATGAAAATAAATCAAGCATAAAAAAAACAGACTTCTGGAACTTCTACTTAAACCATGGCGTGAGACTTTTAGGAGGGATTATTAATTTATTGCCTGCGAATCTGAGACGGAATTGTTCAATCCGCTTTAAAAGAGCAAGAGATAAGCTAAGGGGAATAAAAAATCCCAGATCCACCACGCTAGAAAAGCACTAGAAGAATTGAGAGAGGGCACGTTTACGCCCATCGAATGAAATGTCATATTTCTTTGTAATGGAACGGACTATTCATCCAATCACGGCTTTTGTATGCATTCAGAACGGAGAAGAATCTTGAGAAAACATGTGCCCGGTTTTAATTAGGTTTAGTGTGGAAATCCACCGATGCTTCTTTGTCAGGGATATAGATTAATGCACTAGTAAGGATCTCAACCTTGTCTTTCTGAATCAACATTAAAGCAGCACCTCTTCAATCATTCCTCTTTTTTCCTTTTCCCTCACTCTTTCCCTACCCAAAAAGCTGTGAGCAATGAGCGATGAGCATGGTTAATAAGCCAGGATTAATGTAGCGGTGATGGAATAACGGAGTTAGTGAGCTTTTCTTGGCTCCATTCTTGGGTCTTGGTGTGTTGCTTGGCAAGCATGGATTTTTATTCTTGCCCATGGACAAATGATGAATCGTTCCATGATCCATCACTTGGATCATCAAGTTGGATGTTTGCGGCGTTGTTGCAAACTTGCGCGACTGATTTTCGGAGGAAAAGAAAAATAAATAAGTGGAGCTGATTATTATTAAACATCAGGAGAATTAATTATTAAGATTTTAAGATTTTCAATCCAAGATCGTAGATGTCCAGGGAAGAGGTAGCTGGTATGAACCTGTGACGTGATGTGACTTGACTACTAGGATATTCCTTTGAGAGATGGAGAGTCTATTTGATTTTGAAAAGTCGGAGTTCTTTCAGTCGGGTTTCTTTAAGAGCGATGGATAGGTAATCGGATTCTGGAATTTTGAATCTTGAAACTTGATGAATAACCATCTGCTATGCTGTTTGTTGCTTGTTGTGCCGTTTTCATCCAAGAAGGCTATGCTCCCTAGCTATGCTTGGACTTTCAACATTCAAGACGGACTGGATTGGATTGGATTGTGCGACTACGACTCCGACTTAAAGAAAGGGGAAATAAATCACGATATACATACAACTTTTATCGGGGCGTTTCTTTCTATCTCTTCAAAGCTTCCAAGTTCCAATCTATTCTGCAATAACACGCAATTACTCGTGTCACCATACCATAACATCTGTCCCTCCATCCCAAACCTATTCTCCTCCTTCCTACATGATCACACAAGGTAAGTTACGTGTATCCCTTAGCAAGTACAATACTCCATTAAATACTCCATCCACAATCTTTCCTTCTCCTAGGACCTACGATAATAATCTTCTCTCCTCTTCGAATTACGAAACATAAATACCTTCATCACACTCCTCACACTACAGATAAGAAGTTACCACGCAAACTCCCAATCGCAATCCCAATCCCAATCCCGCACGCTGACGAGTCCCTTGTCCATCACCCCCCAAAACAAGAACTAACTAAAACTCCCCTCCCCTGTCCCCTCATCGACTTAAACCATTAAGCCGTACATCATCACCGATGCCCATGAAGATCATCACATCATTCCATCTAATCACAGTCCGATGATCAAGATGAGCCACAATAACTCCAGGTTTAACCCCTCACTTTTGCTGAATTAAGATTTATGAACTACATATTTCTTACGAATGGTTCCTTCATCTGCCGGAGTGTGGAATTATCTAATTCGAAGCCCCGCCCCGCCTCGATGTGGTATTGGGAGATGATCCCTCTTTTTTTGTGTGTAGCTGATCACTCGTATGTTGTGGACGATCCTGTGCGGAGTAGTGTT